GCAGTCTCTTGAGCCCTTACCTAGACAGTGCTCACTCCCCTCTTTAGGTCATAAGTAAACAGTCCACATTTTGTGGTCTGGATAGTTTCTGTCAGTCCCCCTTCTGGTAGCCCTTCCTAGGTGCATAGCTATCTGAGGATATCTGTGTGCTAGCTTAGTGTCTGCTTCTCTTTTTTAGGGTCTTTAAGTAGCAATATCTTTGAGCCCTTGCCTAGACAGTGCTATCTCCCCTGCTAGGGTAGTAAGTAGATAGCCCACTCTCTGTGGTCTGGGCAGCTCCGTAGGAAGGCTATCTTGACTATGTTATTCTGATCCACAAGCCTTCATAAGACCTTAGGGACATAGCTATCTGATGATAGCTGTGTTCTAGCTCAGCAGCTACTCTCTTTACTTCGCTGTCGCTTCATTGGTGCTCTCCCACCAGGTGGACAGTCATGGATTTCACGACTGGATTTCATTCCCCAATGTGCCCCCTTGGGGACGCAGCATTGAGTTCCCTAGAAGGGGAACATCTCAGGTTACACATATAACCATGGTTCCCTGAGAGGGAACGAGATGCTGCGTCCCCTTGCCATGCCTTCGCCCTGCCTGTCTACGTCTCCTTCAGACAGCTAAAGTGGATAACATATTCATCAGGTTCGCTTTTATACTTCCTATGACGTCATGGGCCAGGTGGGCCAATAGAATGCTGTTGTTTCACACATGCTTCAGACACTGGTCATGCAGGCTGCATACCCCAATGTGCCCCCTAGGGGGGCGCAGCGTCTCGTTCCCTCTTAGGGGACCATGGTTACATGCGTAACTCGAGACAATTTACTTGATAGGTTATAAAAGTAAAAAAAAAAAGTTTTGTACAATCTAAAAAAGAAAAAAAAGCAGTTATGAGGAATTTTATTCTTAAGAATGTTTTTAAATCGTAGTACAAATGCAATATCAGAATATGAACATGGCTATATCTATAGGATATATACATTTTATTGAATTTCATAATTTTTTTTTATGCTACTTCAATTTTTCATCTGGTTTGCTTTCCTCAATTCAAAACCTGGAATTTTAAAGGTATTCACAATTTGATTCTGAATGGCACACAACCCTGCTCGTGACAGAGGAAAGAATGAAAGAAAAAGAAAAGTGTTCATTTGAAGAAATGTGCTCATCTACCCTGGGAATTTGTTGTTTCCACTCAACGTCAGCGATAAATTCAGTTCAGCACATGGTTTCTAAATGACACTGGTTCTGCAAAAAGACACCGTGTGAATGCAGGCACACACAAACAGGGATAAGAAGGACAATCCAAAAAGACGAGTCTTGCGCCCAAGCGCAGGTCACATGATCTGACAGAATGCCCCCTAAATTCAGAGCAATGTATAGAGGCACATGTGACAGATCAGTTCTGCTTCCCTTGGTTGCAGTCCATGAGGTTTTTGCCACATTAAATTGTATTAATGGTGCATGCACTGTAGAATTGGGGTCTTCGGATGCAACCCAGTTTGTGAAGCAGAATTGGACACATGATAAAGGACTGTGTGATAACTGCATTCTTACAGATTCGGCCCACTGAGGAGGCACATCCTCGGGTTCAGGGGGGTAAGACATCCAGGATGGGCTGTGGTAGGAGGAGGGTGGCGTGGAGATGAAATATCCAGTGTATTCTGGACGAGTGGCTGGGATGGCGTACACTGCTGTCATGGGGTTTCCTGTGGGACAAAAAAGGATGAGAGTTTTGTAGGGGTGGGCAAAATATGCATTGTCTATGATAATACTGTAATTATCAAATGTCTCTCACTTTGCAAAAACCAAAAGCACAACTTGAGAGTGTATCTTTTTACTGTGGAATGTAGCCTAGTAGACTGCAGTTTGAATAGCCCCCAAATTCAATACATTGAGTATTGTTTTTGTGTTATATTTCTAAATTACATTGTTAATTTCACACGTGCAAGCATGCTTTTTTCTCAACTATCAGATTGCAAATGTGATATTAATTTTATACAATAGTTCAATAAACAAGAAGTTAAGGTTGTGAGTTACATTTTAGACAATATTTTCAAGATGATCTGTTTTTAATCTATTTTCCCAATAAAAATAGTTCTAAATAAAGCCGCAGTGAAACTCTGAGCAACACACAGTGGTGTTTCATACCTAAATGAATTAGCATGGATTTTGCAAAATAAAATTGTATTTTGTGGATACTGATTTAATTTTATTGGTAACAGCCTATAGTGTCTTATTATTCTAACTGAATTTATCACTTAAAAATATAAAGATGATGCAAACATTTAATAAGGTGAGAATAAAAATGCCTTTATAAAGGTTAAAATGCACCTGGGAATCAATTTAAGCCCGCAGACATCAATCCCATAATCAAAAACTTAATTTCTGCCATTGCTGTGAACTGATCACTGCACCAGAATGAAGGTTATCAAAAGCTTTGGAAGACTGCTGTCCATGACAGGCCTAAAACAGCCATTGTATACACAAAAACACTTAGCAAAATATTGTCTAATTATCATCATCTAAAAAAATCACAGAAAATTTTGAGAAATAATGTTTTGGTCAATATCGTACACCAAATGTTATTCATGCTATTATCAGAAATAATACTAAGATTAAAAATCTCCGAAGTCCTTTTTTTTTTTTTTTTTTGTGAAAATAGCAAAGATATTTTTACCTGTTTTATTGTCAGATCATTTAAAAATTAAGCAGCCAAACTCTCCTCAACGCAGTTCACTGTTTAAAGTATCCTACATGTGCCATCAATGGTCCAGGATGAGTTATGGATCAAAGGGTGTTACACTTCCCTAAATTAAAATAATAATAATGCATAACTAATGCACTATAATTCGTAAAGAAAAAACACAGACAGACACAAACTAGTGTACATAGACATACATAAACCCATACAATCACGCACACTAACCTGAGTGGTTGGGAATGGGCTCAGTAGTGACAGGTGGGAGTGGCGCTCTGCCTTTTAGCTTGTAGGGGGCGCTATCATGCTGACTCGGCACTGACAACTCAGAGCAATGACCCTTCAGACCAAGATCAGAAGATGTCCTGAAAAACAATTTCATACATGCTTTGACATTGTTTCACCACCAGGTGACAGTATTGATTTACTAGTAAAGTCAATATGCTGTCTTTATATAAAAATAATTAACATGACTTGGCAGACTTCACCACAATTACTCAAAATTAAAAATTTAATTTCTGAATTTAGTACTGAAATAAACCTCAATATGACACATTTTGCATTTGTCAGGAATATTTCTCCCAAAATAATTCATTATTTACCCTCATGTTGTTCCAAACCCATTTGAATTCCTGTAGAAATGCTGAGCATAATGTCCTGTCTGTTATTTTCCTTACAATGGAACTGAATGGCTACTGATGCTTTCAAGCTCCAAAAAGGAAAATAATTAACCCTATAAATTCTAAAGCATTATATTTGATATACAGATTTCTAAAGGCTCTACATTTTTTAAATGTTCAAAACTGTTGTGTACAATTCTCATGTCATCTGATTGATAGTTTATAGTGGAATTAAAGATTTTTATATACGTAAAAAGTAAATGTAAGAATAATTCATTATTATATATATTTATCCATACATGTTTACATTGTTTTTTTCTAAAAACAATAATGTATCAAATATGAATAAAACCTACAGAGCTTTGGTCATAAACTAAGCATTTATGTGTCATCTTACTTTACTAAGACATATTATTTGGAGATATAGTGACGGATGACATTTTTGTGCATTTTATGTAAGTAGTGTACAATACTGTTATAAAGATCTCATTGTGTTACATTACAAGCTATCAGAATTTAATTTTACTTTTTGGCAATATAAATATTAGCAACTGCACTTTTTCTAGTTATTTCATACATCAGACTTTAAAGTGTTGCGTGTGTTATTAGCTTTATATTCGAAATCTTCTGACACCATACAATATTTTTCCATGAGGAAAAGACCAAAATTTAGTTAACTTGGAACAGTGAGATCAGTTACAACAACAAATGACACCATGGTTGACATGAATACAGAACTTGAATATTAAGCAGACATGTTTGTTTTTTTTATGAAATAATGACTTAATGATGACACGCTATCAGAAGACTGTAGAATATAGAACACAGGTCATATGTACTACTTTAATTGTACTTTGTCTGTCTTTTTTTTATTTTGACAGCTTTATCCACATTTATTTGTCTTGTTTGGATTGTGAACATCCTCGTGTGTGCCACGCAAGGGTTTGAAACGATAGTAAATTATGGGAAAATATTCCTTTAATAAGTGCTGAATAAACTCATGCATTGGTCACTGCCAGAACAAAAAGGCAAAGAACGTGGATATGTTCTGACCGTTGCAGTGATGACTCATGAGGAGGGCCTGTTCTTGGTGGGACAGGGGGTGGAGGTGACCCAAGAGCCATTTCAGGGAGCTGAGTGAACCTGAATGCCTTTTTGATAAATTTGCATATGAGCATATAGAAGCTTTTAGCAAGAAAGATAATTTCTGACATATCAATACATACATATATATAGATCAGATCTATAACTGTACCTGTTTGGCCAGGCTGCACTGGTAAGGGTCTGGTCTACAGGCTGGCACCCACTGTAGGCCTCCCTGCCCTTGACTTGTGGTGCACGGTGCACTGGTCACCACCTCTGAGTACGGGATGACTGGACCCAAGCCATAGGGACCCAGTGATGGATGCTGATGGTGGGAGTGATGGTGTCTGCTGGAAGTGGAGTGACCAGCTGAAGCTAGACTAAAGGCTTCTTCTAGCAGCAGATGCATCTGCTGACGAACCTCATCTATGGAAGGCTGGGAACTCAGCGTTGATGTCTCAGATTGACCTTTGATTTGTCGACCACAGCCAAAATAATGGCGGCCCGCCAGGCGGTCAACATCAGGCT